TCCTAAACATTCTACATTCTAGCCGGACCGTGCAACTTTACAACCCGCAGTTCCGCATGCGTATTTATCTTCCGTGGAACGGCAGAACTAAATAATGCTTAGCAATAGCCTGGTTACGAAAGCAGCCCGTGGTTCCGGGGGTGAGGCGGCCGCTTCGGGATCAAGGGGTCCGAGGTTCGTGTCCCACAAATATAGAAACTTTTTTATATTTTTACAGCTGTTTTATTTTTTTATTTTTTTTTGCAGCTGTCTGTAATAACAATCAAAATACGCCGTATGTATGTTTTGATTGCCTTGGTTTCTGGGGTATTTTTTAGATTGCACGCAAAATACCCGACCGAGTATCGTTTCTGCGCATGCGGAACTGACGTAAATCATTCGAAAAAAATAAACCAAATAACAATCCAACTTTAAAATAAACCGTAAAAATAAACGTCTTTAGTTTAGCTAACAATTGAAAATCATGAAATAAGGGACTAGTGGAACCATAGACTTAAAATAAAATATAGACTACACTATTTACATCTCAACGCGGACAAACAACCTTTTTTGTACACATGTTTACTTCTGGGTACAGTCGACCGAGCCTTCCTCATCCAGCCTATGTTGTCACGTCTTTAATATTATCAATATTTTTTTTCTTGTTATACACATATATTGAGATATTAATACTACAGTTTAATAAAGTAGGTTTTAATATTCCAGAGATGTATTAAATAGTCCTTATACTACTAAATTATAAGTCGGATACTGTTTAAAAAGGATAAGTTCTTTACAATATGACAACACCGATTAGAGGCGAGGGAGCCTATTCATTCATTTATTACCTTGTAGTACGTGTCGCACGTGTGCGGTAAAGCTTTGTTGCCGCTATCTCCCCGGCTGTATTAACGCATTTTCTTAGCTTGTAGTGCTTAAGTGTTTATTTTATTGACTTTTTCTGTTCAAGAACTATAAAATATGGTTCGCCAGTGCCAAATTTGCAAGAAATTTGACTTAAATAATCCATTTAAGTCTTGAAACGACTTTTGACCGGTAGGCAACTCTCAATTTACCCATTGGGAGTCAGTGGCGTTGTTGTAGAAAGGCGCTTATTTAGATAATATTTTAGTAAAATGTAAAATCTGAATTTTTTCTCTTACATTACATTATTTACTTACTTACATTGTAACAAAATCATAATTATAACCCTGTTAATAATTAATAATGTTTTTATTAAAAATATATTCCGGTTTATTCTAAAATTATCTTCAGAATCTAAAATAACATACAAGAATTTTAAAATGATATTACATTATGAAACAATATTTTTTAATATACCGGGTCGTCTCAAAAGTGGCTCAACCCTATAACTTTTTTTATTTTTTCAGATAAAAAAACAGATTTGTATGTTAGTAGCAGGGTTCGGAAGTAGTTAATTAAGACGTAATTTACCTGATTAACTACGTGTAGTTTTTCTTCATAAACTACATCTTTTCCCGTTCATTAACTACATGAAAACTACGTTAATAAGCTATGTATTGATATTATGAATAAGTTTCCTTTGTATGAGGTGTAATAGAGATAATATGATGTAAATATTATATTTTTAAAGCCATATTTCTTCTGTTTTCTTAAATACATTATGTGTTTTTAAAGCTTCAACTTATTAAAACCTCACCTCAAACCTTTGATATTTGAAAGTTACATACATAAGTTACATAAACTACACCCTCTACATAAACTACATTAACTACATGTAATGTAGTTTATGTAGTTTTTAAAAGCAACATGTAGTTTTCCGAACGCTGGTTAGTAGGTATATGACATAAATTAGGATTTATTGGACGTATTCAATTGTTTTTGGTCTCTTCCTGTTTCACCGAAATGATTACATCTTTTGATTTTTAAAGGCACCCTCGGTATATTGCTACTTTATTCGATAAAAAATGACACTCTGAATAGAATGACATATCATATGTCAACTTTGACATTGTCGCTTAAAAAACATATCCTATTTTAAAATTTCAATCCAGTTTTTTTTCAGTCCACTAAGTTTTAACTCAAGTAGCCTTGAAAAATAGTTTTGATCGTCTAATAGGTTTCGTGTCTTGTCTAGGCCGGTTAAAAGATGTACAAATCGTATTTTTAATCATACATATGTCAATTTTGTCAAATGGAACAAGGGGTGACTCATTAGCATATTTGGAAAAAAGCATTTTTTATGAATATATTGATACCACACACTTGGTATTTCGAGAGGTCAAATTGTCGTTATGAACCGCGTGTTACAATTACAATTAAACCATATGCGAAAATGTCAAAAGTTGACATATGATATGTCATTCTATTCAGAGTGTCATTTTCTATCGAATAAAGTAGAAATTACCGAGGGTGCCGTTTAAAAATTAAAAGTTATAGTCATTTCCGGTGAAACAGGAAGTGACCAAAAACAATTGAATGCGTCAATCAATCCTAATTTATTTCATATACTAACATACTAAATCTTGTTTTTTTTATTTGAAAATATAAAAAAATTATGGGGATGAGCCACTTTTGAGACGCACCCGGTATAATAAAGACAGTACCGAGTTATAAATGTAGTTTTTATTTTATCCACTTCCTATCACCTTCCTTGCTTTAATGGAACAGATTTATGTTTGCTCTAATTTACATAATAAGACATCACTTAACCAGAAAAAAAATTACAACAATCATATTTTTTTTCTCTCCCTGTTGCCGATTCTATTATATCTGTGGAATAGATCCTGTTTTGATTAATATTAGGGGTTGTAAATGTTTGACTAAAATTAATAATTTATTATTAATTTCAAAAATTACCTAATTTCGATGATAAAATTTCTTCTATAACGTGTATTTTATTATTTTTATCCTTTTTGGACTCTAAATTGTTTTTTCTAAACTTTTATTTAAAAAATCTTAATAAAATATAAAAAAGTTTAAATACGATATATTTTTAATTTAATTATAGCTTCATTAAAATAAAAAAATTACCCGGCTATGATACGGAGAGTTCAGGTGTACTTGAGAAACGAAAGACAGTGTTGTGTTTCTCGGCAGAGTCGTCAGGGAACGACCGTTACGACAGAGACAACCTATCTATCGCTCGTGTCGCACTCGTTATAACCTAAAACAATAACACAACAATAACAAGACAGTGTCTGACCGCATGTTCCAGCTATTTATGAATGAGATGCTCAGTCTATATTTTATTTTAAGTCTATGAGTGGAACATAGTAACTATTCTTTATTACGCTAGCCACTTGGATGCCGCTATATAACTGTACTTATAATAATGCTACACACTCGTATTATACGCTGCTTGTATGGTATATGGTATTGACTGTTATCCAAGTTGAGTTGGAAGGCTTTTTAACATCAAAGTTGCACTAAAGTAAGTAGGCTGGCTTCCAAATTCCTTAGATGCACCACTTTCATAAAACAATTGAGACCATACATATAACGTAAAAGTGAAACGCGCGCTTCATCTAGGTAAATAGTATATTTATATGGCAGCATCCAGTTGACTTGGTCCAAGTACACTTTGACCATGTCAACAACCAGCCTTTAATATAGATCTGCTATAGCTAAATGAAATACAAAGTAGGAGATGAGAAATTAAACATCAATTAATGCCAATTTACTTTATTATTTTAATCTATAGTGTAACAGTTAACCAATATAATTAGAAATAATAAACTTATATCGATCGTTCCATGACATCCTGGATATAACAGCTATAATTATAGTAAATAGGAAAATAGTATACAATAAAATAATTGCAAATATAAAAATATTAAGTAGCACATCTCTAAAATCGAGGGAGAAAATACGAATTTTCTTTTTTGTTTCGGGTCATAACCAAAAAACGTCTAGAAACCATCATAAAATCAAAAACGATTATTGGGGTGATATGTTTGAGACCTCTCCGTGACACAAATGCTACTTAGTTGTAGCACAAAAACGACGGGCTCAAAAACACCACTCTACGTAGATAGAGATCTAGACTGGTAGAGACCAGTCTTCTGAGAATGACTCGTTAGAAAAAAACTTAAAACAATTGAGACTTACCGCTACCATTAAAATAACATTATTACAATTTCTTTCGGTGTAAAGGTAATAAAAACACCAACTATTTCATTTCTAAATGTCTGTTTTTCACGCCCGTATACTAAATAGTATATCTGTATAAAGTTCCTTACAGTTTTTAAGGAAGATTCGTGGGTATGTACAAAAAAACGTCCGACAAAGACGTGAACGATGGACGTGAATACACTTGCGGGGAGATCTCTAATTTCTGCCTCGTTTCCGATGTAAACGTAAACGATTCTTTACAAATTTACACCTGTACAAAAATATATTGGTGCGTCCCTCTTGGACACTGACAATATAGCGTCTAGCATAAATAAATCCTAATCAGTGTCCGAGTTGGATGTTTCCCTAGAGTGACTTGGTCCAAGTACACTTTGACCGTGTCAGCCACTTCAGTATAGGATCTGCTAAAGCTAAATGAAATACAAGGTAGATGAGAAATTAAACAACACCAATTAATGCCAATTTACTTTATTATTTTAATCTATAGTGTAACAGTTAACCAATATAATTAGAAATAATAAACTTATATCGATCGTTCCATGACATCCTGGATATAACAGCTATAATTATAGTAAATAGGAAAATAGTATACAATAAAATAATTGCAAATATAAAACATATTAAGTAGCACATCTCTAAAATCGAGGGAGAAAATACGAATTTTCTTTTTTGTTTTGGGACATAACCAAAAAACGTCTAGAAACCATCATAAAATCAAAAACGATTATAGGAGTGATGTGTTTGAGACCTCTCCGTGACACAAACGCTACTTAGTTATGGCACAAAAACGACGGGCTCAAAAACACCACTCTACGTAGATCTCTACCAGTCTTCTGAGAATGACTCGTTAGAAAAAACTTAAAACAATTGAGACTTACCGCTACCATTAAAAATAACATAATTTCTTTCGGTGTAAAGGTAATAAAAACACCAACTATTTCATTTCTAAATGTCTGTTTTTCACGCCCGTATACTAAACAGTATATCTGTATAAAGTTCCTTACACTGTTTAAGGAAGATTCGTGGGTATGTACAAAAAAACGTCCGACAAAGACGTGAACGATGGACGTGAATACACTTGCGCTGTCGCGGGAGATCTCTAATTTCTGCCTCGTTTCCGATGTAAATGTAAACGATTCTTTACAAATTTACACCTGTACAAAAATATATCGGTGCGTCCCTCTTGGACAGTGACCGTATTGGAAATAGCGTCTAGCATAAATAAATCCTAATCAGTGTCCGAGTTGGATGTCTCCCTAGTGTAGGAAATCTGCCATTGCGCACCTTGTATTCTATCTCTTCTTGGCTATAGCGCGCTCAGTCTTCTATTGCTGTCTCTTTTCTTCTTCCAGCATGGCGTCCAGTTCGTCTGTCAGGTTGGCCAACATGTTTCCGATATCATTTAGTACGTCCACTGGCTGTTCGGCCCTAAAACAATTTTAGTTTCAAATTTTTGAAATTGAATTCCTGGATTTTATAGAACAGTCAGGCAGAGAAAACGCAACGCAACATTTTTTCGTCAAGTTTAAAGTGTTATTTTTTACTTTTTAACCTATTTTCATGAATTTTAGTAAACTGTATAAATTTTATCAATTCATAAACCCAGTTTTTATAAACTTTGTAGTATTTGGGCTTTTATTATACAGGATTAATGACTAAAACATTATTTTTCGATCAGAACCATGTCACTGAGCATTTTGTTTTTGATTCATGTCAACAATATTGCCTTGGTAAATTTTAAGAGCGAAATAGACTGCCATCAACAATGTGCAATTTGTTCAATTATTATTACTTTATAATGTTATTTTTAATATCTCGAGGGTGGGTTTTGGTAACTATTGTCGTAATGTCATATGGACACTGATTAGAACTCTATATTAAATTTAAAAAACGTTAAAAAGTAACGATACGGGCTTAAGAAGGTTGAACATTCGACGATCTTTACGGCTATCGGATGGCTGTAATGTTCTACAAGCAGAGGTTTATGCCATAAAAAAGGAAGCGGCTAGTTGCACACACGAGAGAAATTGCTGATAGACCAATAGGAATATACGGTATATTCTGACAGCTTGACCGCTTTAGGAAGCATCACCAGTGAGCTGTGTTGGGTGCCAGGCTACAGCAATGTGGTGGGCAATCAGGAAGCAGACTCGCCAAAGACGAGGCCAGGGGAGATGCCATGGCAGATGACTCACCACTTGCGACGATCAACGCAGAAGGAAGCTATAGGGTGCCATCAAAGCCAAGCACCAAAGACGTGGCAACACCGTGAGGGCTGCGCTACAGCTCGAAGACTATGGCCTGGCCAGTGATAGATAGCAAAAAGACAAAACAACACTAGAGCACAAAAGGGACCTAATTTTGCATAATGAAAGTAGGTGCCGTCACTGGAAACTGTCCCACGGGGGTTAACCTCGTGAGATGGAAAGTTTCCGACGACGATTACTGCAGAGAAATACGAAGGATAAGAAGAATAGAGCTTAGAGCACCTGCTGTGCCACTGTGTCCGGCACTGGAATTCCGACGCTTTAAAACTTTTTTTTTAAATATTATTTTTTTTAGGGACTAGAGGAAGCAGAAGCCAACATCAGCGACATCGGGAACTTTGCTGGAAGTGCTTTAACCGCAAAGAAAGAATGAGAGGAAAGTTTGGTATAATAATACAGGGGTATCGCATTGGGTCCAAGGCTTCCGAGAGAAGGATAAAACATGATCCCAAACCCCAGAAACCTAACCTAACCTAACTTGATACAGGCTTGGTTTTTATGGGTATTAATAACACTAACAGAAAGAAACAGAACTAAGGCTATTAACAAAAATAACTAATAAATAAGTATACAAACAAACAAAAAACTTGTAAATAATACTCTAATACTTTGTATTTTGTATTGCCTCCCCGGCTACTATAACTGTCTAATCAGACGTCGGTTCATATTGTTAATGAGGCTGCAAATATGATATTAGTATTTATGTTTTTCTCATTCTTCTACAAAAGCCACCTCACGTCATTATAGAAGAATAATATAGTCCGGCCTTGTGGTCGAAATTATTGCGCCGCTTTCTAGTAGACGGAAGGTCGCCGGTTCGAATCCGGCCCCGGACATGCATGTTAAATGTGTGTGTGAGTCTGTATTTGTCTGATTTTAAACGCTAATTAAAAATTAAAGAATTTTTTTTTTTTTTTTTTTTTATTATTTAGATTTTTAACAAAATAGAAAAAAAAGAATAATATAAAAAAATAACGATAATTAAAAAAAATGCCAAATGTTTGTGGCAAATTCATTTTGCTCCTTAAAAATTAACTAAGGCATGTGTTGACATGAGTGAAAACATTCAGGAGACACGGTTGTGACCGAAAAATAATGTTTTAGAAAAAATTTGTACGAAATCATTGTACAAGGTGTTTGAAATATAGGGTAAAAAACAACTCTTCGATTAATGCTGTATAATAAGTTTATAATAAACTGAGTTTACAAAGAATTAAAATTGATATATTTATATACAGTTTGCTAAAAATATCAAGGAAATAAGACTAAAAAATAAAAAAAAAAAATATATAACATTTTAAACTTGACCAAAATTTTTTCCGTTTTTTAGCCTCAGTGTAGGATGAAAAATTATAGTTGAAGGTACGTATGTACCAAAAATGCGAGCAAGTGCGAGGAAGAGCAAGCGATCATTCTACGTTAATCACCTAGTGAGTGAACAAGTCTTTGTTTGTTCTGTTTTGAGATTTACCCTTTAACAGGATGCCCTTTTAACAGGATAGTTTTGAACTAGCTACTTTTGATAGCGACTCTGAAATTCAGCACAGGATTAGTAGCAATTAGCCTCAAGAGCATTCTGGGAATTAAAAGACAGAGTTTTTTGCAATCGTGACTTGAGCACAAGAACGAAACTTGCAGTGTACCGAGCAATTATAATCCCCACATTGTTATATGGGAGTGAAACTTGGGTGTCGTACCGCCGACACATGAACGCATTAAACAAGTTGCAACAAGGACACCTTAGACAACCTCACCAAAAATTCGGTGGTTTCATCATGTCTCAAACGTATCCGGTCCTCGAAAAAGCTAACTGCGAGATTATTGAATTCATGATTACAAAGTCCCGTTTTAGATGGGCTGGTCACGTATGCAGAATGCAGAAAACCGCATACCAAAAACTCTGCTTTACGGTGAGCTTAGTAGAATGCTAAAGGAGGCCGGGTGGACAGCTGAAAAGATACAAGGACATTTTCCACAAAAACTTAAGGGGATTAACATGCAGATGAGTGGGAAAAAGCAGCTCACAATAGAATTCAATGGAGAGAAAATTGTAAACTCAGTTAACAGCGACAACCAAAAAGTAAAGAAGGCATCCAAGCAACTAAGATTTTTTGAATGTCCAGAGTGCGGTAAGCAGATAACATCACGTATCGGGCTTTTCAGTCACAGAAAATAAGCTCATGAAAGAAAACCACTTGCGTAATCATATTCTGATGCGTGTCGAATAATATTCGTCAGCGAGTAATGGCAGTATGTATGTATAGTTTTGGTGGGTCCTTCAATCTGACAAAAACCTTGTAAAACTTAGATATTTTTATTTGATGCTGTAAAATATTTCGAAATATTTTTTTTTTTTTTTCATCAAAATATTGACGCTCCTGTTTTTTTTAAATGCGACCACTCTAGATAGCTGCATTTCGAGTATGGACGTTGACTCGTTTAGTGCTATGACCAATAGACTAGTGCACTCCGCTAAACATACTATTGTGTCTTTTGCTGGCGTTTTATTCCGAGAATGTTATTGCTTTTCTATATTTAATCTGAGGGTAAATTACACTATTTAACCTATTTACCTGTTGCGTGAACTGGTGTTTGGCGTTCTGCTCGTGTTGGGCGTCGGGGACGGATGCGGTGGAAGTCCGGGTCTGGGCTTCGGCGATGAGAACTCTGCTTGGCGGCCGGCCGTACCCGCTCTGGTGCGGATCGTACCGGCGTTCTCGTTAGCAAAAGGTAGAGAATCGGATTCTGTACTCGAACTCGACTGAAACCGAAAATAACATTTAGCTCAATTTGATAAGTATAAAAGAATAATAAATAAAAAAAAACATAAAATTAGAAGTAAACTATTGCGCTACCGTGCTAGTTAAGGTTCATTCTCACTATACCTTCCATATCAGCTACCTTCCTAATAAATCTTTATCTATTTCCCTTCCGTTTACATAAAATATTATAACATGTAAAATTAATAGGACCAATGCACTAACCGTTCCGTTTCCTTCCGTTCCATATCCTTTCATACATTTTTTGGCGGATGGGCTGAAACAATGCGAAACAGCGTTGTCAAGTTCTTATTTGTACCAGCTCTGTTAACATTTGCTGATATTTATTTATTCTTTCACCTCTTAAATAAAAAAAAAACACCTTTTTTTCAAAGATAAAATTTTTTTAGAAATAAAAAAAAAACTTTCATAATGATATAAATTGTACGATAAAAAGTATGGAGACGATACGAAACGGAAGCTTACGTATAGTGTCAATACAAAAAATACGAACGGATATGGAATGGACACGGAAGGTATAGTGAGAATCAGCCTTTATACTTAAATTGCATATAAGCAGGTGTACGACTGTAATTATTTAAGTACCCATTCACAACGTACACATATTATGATTAATTTACTCTACATAATCTGAATTAGAATGGCTATTTTGCCATTGAAACAGAAATCAACAAAAAAAAAATGTTTAACGTTTTAGGGGATATATCCAAAGGTTATTAATTAAACAGATTGACAACGATGGTTGGCGCGGTTACGTCAGCTAGCGGGACATTTAAAATACCTATTAACAAAAGGTTCAATAATAATAACAATTACACTAGTTAAATTGTTCTATAAAATCTTTATCTATTTTCCTCTAATTTTGCTTTGACATTAACATTTTTTAAGCACTACTTTATTTGAAAAAATAGTTAATATTGATAAAAGAAAAAAAAAAAAAAATAATTTATTATACAAATACATCACTCAGCAAAAGCAATACTAGACATTATTGACTGTTACAGGTAGGAATGATATCTATTTCTAAGGAAAATGTGATAAATAATTTAAAAAAATATCTTTCATCAATTATTAAAACTTCTAATACGTTAAGTACACTAAACTAAACAAAATATAGTATATCCACTAAAACTGCCTTATAGTAAGCAATACAGGAAACAATATAAAAATTATTTAGCCAAACAAACTGCTGAGTACCACACGATGACGCGCAATATGGCGGCTAATGTCAAGTTACGAGAAAACCTGTTTAATTTAATAACCTTGGTTATATCCCTCCCATCGTCAGTAATAGTCAAGATAAAACAAAAAGAATACAGAGAAAAACTATTTAAAATGTCTAAATCTAACCATGTCGGAAACATTTTAGTTGTTTACTATAGACATCTATTAAAACCTAGATAAATTACTCGATTAATTCCAGCACTGTGTTTCTCGTTGATTTTCTATGTCAGTGGCATAATGCAAAGCCTTTTTTTAGAAAATATGTTTCTAGACCAACTGAAGTTTATACTAAGGTCAGTCTGTTAAACTCTGTCTGTAAAAAGAAAGCGAGTATCATATACAGTGAAGTTGTGTTGATTTCTTGGAATATGTATTTATGTATTAACTATATGTATTAGTATATTATTCCCTAATTCATACACAATTCGGTTTAAACTACTTTTGAATTAATCTTAAAGTTTAAGTAAAAACTACTTAGTATTAGTATATTCAGAAGACTTTATATTTATAAAATGTTTCCAAACATCAGAGGTTACCATTTCTCTAATGCTTGAAAAATATAAATATAAAGTGTCATGAATATATCAAGATGTTTTACACTAAAATTAAGGTCCACAGTGGAGTTAATCGATAATTGTGCGATGAACGAAATATATATTTAACAGATAAAGTGTTTACTTGTCTATGATATAGACTAGCTGAATAGTTTATAATTTTACTGGCTATTTTGATGGAAAACCATATAAACGAAAAAGTGGTTTTAGTCCTTCTTTAAACAATCGCTATATAAAAATACAGTGCTATAAATTATGTGTTAGTGAACCGTATAATTAATTCTTAGAATATAAAATGTCAACATAACTTAATTGTACGCGACTTACACTTTGTGTTTACGGACGGTGTTCTTTCTAGACTAGAAACTTATTTTCAATAATGAATACTCTCCTTCGTATCGTATCTATTTTGATAATTCTCCAGTTAACAACTTTCTTTCTCTCAAATAAATATATCGCATAAGTACTATTATTTTAACTTAGATTTCTTCACCACTGAAGGTAGAGGCGATTTGTTCATTGAAAAAATTAAGTATATTTTGGTCTGGATAAAACAGATAGTTACCTTAAAACTAGCGTCAGACCCGTTCCGATGTTGCAACGCCAGCGTCTTGATCAACTCCTGCTCCTCCGCTCCCCAACTCTGCGACGAATTCAGTTTCCCAGGCGGCGTCCCAGGCGCCGGCGGAGGAGGCAAAGGCAAATCACCCCCGCTATCCAACGATATACTCAAACTATCCGAACTAGGATACGCGGGCAACGGCAACGGACTCGACGTCTGGACGTGGTGGATCTCCACCGTTGTCGTCTCCTCCGACCCGCACTCGCTATCCCTCCTCTTGGGCGGATTCGGCGGTATCTTCTTCCCCATCATCGGACTGCCGTACTGCGCGTAGGCGTTCGGCACCGGCTTGTACTGCGGCCCGGCCGAGTACTTCTCGGGGTTGAACTGGGGCTTCTCGAAGTCGGGGAAGGTTTCCCGTGCTTTGGCCGTGATTTTCGCGATAGGTCTAGGCCGGATGATGCCGCGGGGGCGGGGGAGGGTACCGCCGCCCTCGTATAGCAGGGCGGTCTCGTTCGTGGGCGTTAAGTCGCCGTCGTCGTAGGATCTGACGCGCCAACCGACCGGTTGCTGGTAGTAGAAGGTCTGGGTGTTGTCGGCGGAGAAGGTGTGGTGCGTCCTTTCGTTGGGGTCTTCGAGGGACTCGAGGGATTTGCCCCGGCCGGTACGGATCTGAAAACGATTGGCAAATGTTAGAATATTATTCATGTAAAATTATTCTACTCTATCGTTATACAGTGACACACAATATCCGCATCAAATTGCATTTTCATCGAATATTATTTAAAATATAGCAAGTACTTTTTTGTTTTTATGACTTATTTCATGTTACCCAACTATATCAATGTGATTGAAATGGTTTTAAAGTTAATGTTCTCTTTTTTAATTATAATTGTAGATTTTTTTTTATAAAATCACTAAGTTAAGACGTTAGAAAAATTACAGTTGAAGTTATATACCGTCAATGGCGATTTCATGTTCTGATGGAATGCGCACAATAATTATTATACCATATGATCACAAAATAAACGGTGTCAAAGACGGCTGGAGTATGAAAATGGATGATAATTTTGACGAGGTCGAGCCCTATACACCATTACTTGGCCACGACTCTTTAATTTTTTAATGGCGCTTACTGCCAGTCGGCCTTAAGAAGATCGTAATTTATTTATGTATTGAGTAAAAATGATTTTTAAATGATTAGTTTTTAAATTCAGGAAAAATATTTTATTTTGAAATAGGTTTATGTGTCTGGAAACATTCTATCCTATTTTAGTCCTTCTATAACTAGTGGTACTTTTTGTGTTAGTTTTGTCAACTTTTGGCAAATATGCTAATGAATTGCCTCTCATTATCATCGATTGTAATTCTCAGCCGTCTTTGACGCGAATTTTCGATTATACGGTACTTAATTTAAATTTTATAACAGGCACCTATTTCTACGAGACAGCCTAAAATATTCATATATCTACAGGTTTTTTGTGACCTTTTTCTTGACCTATCGCGATCTGCATGATATCAGTTGGTTATTATTTTTGTCATCGATCTACCGAGTGGGTTTCCTAGACTTCACTTATTAATCGGATGGTTAAATATTTATTGTTGTTTAGTGTCTCTCTAAATGAAATCTAGCCATTAAAAAACTCATTACATGTGGGATTACCTTTGATTTAATGTACAATTTCAGTCCTTTAAAGTTTAAAAGAGACAGAACAAAAAGTAAATTTTCTTGAAAAGTGAAATTCAGAAAAGATTATTTTATAAAGGTAATTCTTGATAATTGTTATTTTTTAAATAGTTATAACATAGAATTCCAGACCTGTTTTAAAAACCAGACTATCGTAGTTTTTTGAATGTTTGAAAATTCGATATGACTTCTTACTAAATAAAAATTTTGAATTAAATAAGATTCAATTTTTCTCCATTATCACAAAATGTGAATCATGTACAATGAAGTTGTGATAACTTTTTGCTGTTTTATTCTACTCCTCTTTTTTGGAAGTATATTTATTGCAATTCATAGTTCACAATATCCTTATACCAGGGCTGGCATTTCTGATCATGAGTTACTTATTTTTGTGTGTACGAAGAGTACAGTCAACAAGCTTAGCATAATAAGATGTACTGAATAGACAGCAGGCAAGTATTTTCCCAAGCGCATGGAATCTAGCGTCAGATTAAATTTTGTTATATACTTTCTTATTTTGCTCTCTCCGACTTACTAAATTGCCATAGCGATTCACTCATATACATGTAAACGCCGACCCAAGGTTTCGCTTGCCAGCAGGGTATGCCTTGAATTATTAGAGAATGATGTTTGTGAGATTTAGTATAATTTATTTTTAGTGTTGTTTCTGTTTGCTTCATTTCTTATTAAAGGCTAGCCAATGAAAAAACTTATTCAAGGCTGCTTTTTTTCACATTTCGTTAACGAGTACCTTTAACATGGTTAGCGTAATATCATTATCAATGATACAGACTATATATCAGCAACTCTAGGGGGTAGTCACAAAATATGTCTTGATCATAATGTGTGTCACATTATAAAGAAAATTTCATATCTCATACAGCAAAATAGTAGGGTTAGCTCTGACTGGCATTTTTGTATTTACTTGTTTATTTACCATAATTAATTCGGTATATACTAAAAAGGAAATAGATTTACTGTCTTATTCCATTCAAAAGAAAGTACGATTTAGTAAAGATATGTGTGACATAATTTATGTATTTTTATGAGTCGCTACTATTGTCTTTATTTAAGTAGCGACCTACATTCTCGAATAATTTATAGTGCCACAGTACTTGGCAAATTACGTGTTTATTCACAAAGCAAAGATATATTACCGACATTAACTATTTGCGAATCCTATTCTATTTGCAACTTTTGCCCTAAATATATATAAAAAGTAATGATATATGTATATTATTAAATCACTAATCAAAATTAATTTGGTTATTATTAAGATTAACTTCAATTATAAATAAACGTACAGACCTTTTAACGGCAATAAAATAAACAACTTGCTTAGAGGATCTAATTTTCATCAAATATGTTGTGAATAATTAATACTAAAAAGCAAAATTATAACTCTTTAATCTCCCTCAATTGGGGGAAACCAAGCGAGGATTTAATGTACAATTTCAGTGGTACCAAGTTTAAATGGATTCAGTGAGCAAAAAAGTAGAATTTTCTTCTTTGAAATTATTAAATTCTTTAATTTTAGAAAAGAATATATCTAGATAATTAGATTTTAGCCTAGAAATTCAGACATGGCTCATAATACCAGGCCGTCGTAGTTATGATATGTTTTAATATTCAATATAATTAATATATCGTCCTGTTGCTGTCAAAAGTCACTAACTAACATTTTCCGAACAGCAAATTCAATCATTAACTATGTTTTGAATCGGAGAATCGATGGCAAAAGTCATTAACTACGATTTCTGGCTATTTATGTTTTATTTTTAATACCGAATAGTTACCAACTATAACATCTTTATGCAATGCAATTCTTCTTTAGATGCATTTTTCTCGGAAGTAATAAAAAGTAAGTTAGTGACTTTGGCTAATGTCAGGACGATATAAATAGTTAAAAGTAAAATTGCTTAAGTTAAATAGCAGCAAAAAAGTAAAACAAAAACCTTATGAACTAATGAAATGTTACTGAAATGTTTATATGGTGTTACAGCACCATTGGCACACAGAACTAAAATAAAAAAAAGAAATGTAAGTATAATGGTGGCTAATAAATTATCAACGTATATAGATAGAATATTCTCTTGTAAAATATTACTGTGTGTGTTCCCTGTAAAATTTGTTTGATCAAAGAATTGCATACACTACACAAATAATCACGAAGAGAAGGAGTTTTGATTTTATTTAAATTTACTGTCTATTTTTCATATAATTTTATCAAAGATGTAAAAGTATCTTTGTGGCATTATAACATTATATTATCTAACATTATTGTTTGCTGTTGTTCAATTATTAACATCTATAGTCTCTCCAAGCCGAGACTACTTGACAATGACAGTTGTTGTCGGTTATTTTATTTAAAAGCACGTATATTTTAGGTCGCTTGGTGGTTGTGGTCTCTGTCGTAAATATTAATATTAATTAATACTAATTATAGTAAAGAATGTTATTTTGTCATCTATTTGAAATACGATTTAGGTTGGAACAGTGAGGTACAATAGGAAATTACAAAAACTGTATTAGGATATCATTTGAGTAAGAAAAAAACAACTATGTACCGAAATGTTAACGTCAACAATTATTTAATTTGAATATTATAGTAAATTGCTGTTATTTGCTTTTATCATTTGTTACTTTTCTAATGACAAGTCAAAATAGACAAACAAGAATAAGACTCTACTTTTGATTTTACAGATTCGACTGAAAAATACAGAATTTTATTTTCAATATGAGCATAAGGTACAATTATATTTTGCATATACAGGGTTGTTCACCACATACGACACGATATTATGCTAAACGATTAGATTTTACAAATTGTAAGTTCGAGGTTCGATGAGAGGTCAATATAAAACTGAATTTAAAAATGTTTTGAATACTAGAGTGTCCCAAATAAGTAAAAAAATATTATAGTTATATTATTTTTTTAAATGGAACACCCTCTATATTATTCTATTGGATTCTACGATTGAAATAAAGGTAAATTTGATTAAGGTTTATCACACTTAAATCTTACCGTTTTTGAAATATTTTTCAATTTATGAAATTGCAGGCAAAAATTTTAAAGGGCTTTATTTCTCCAAAGAGTATCAAAGTTTTTTAAATATAAATATTTATTGAAGATTATTTATTGATCAGATATTGTGTTGTAATAATAAAATTTTACTACCTTATACAGAGTGTCAAAAATGTATACTAAATAATTACTAGCTTTAAACGGCAATAACTTGTTTAATTTAAATGGAACACCTTATATATTTACGTAAATCAGATGCACAATGTTATTGTCCTATCAAATTTTATTTATACCATTTTACATCTTCAAGTTTTCGTAGAAAATGCATTTTTTAATTTAGGCCTCATTTATCCACTATACCCATGGAATATTGACATTTCAGATTTTTATAGCACCATAATATGTACAAAATGTACAGGAGGTAAATATTGCAAGCCCATTGGCATACAAAATAAACTATTTAAATATTTGCTAAAAGAGTATACCAATTAAATATACCATCATTATTTCCTACCAAAACACCAAAAATTAGTTAATTACATACTTATAAAATTTGTTTTAATTAAAAAAATTATTCTAAATAAATGTGGATTTGGCTCAGAAAAATCAATATAATAATAAGTTATAAAATGAATGTCTGTGTTTTTATAAATAATCATTCATTAATAAATGAAGTAAAATCTATAAGGTGTTGCTTTTTACCACACTGACTCCAATACACACAAAATTCAGTTTTTAGTATTTGGAGCAATTATTACTACAACGTAAACAGTCAAAATAATGCTGGATTTAGTTTTGGGATCATATTAATTGGTCCTCTTTAACAAAAATATTTAAACAGTTTTTATTTTTTAATTAAATAAGCGAACTAGATATATCGACAATATTAGTATCTGTACCCTTTGCAAATTTGTTATATCTTTAAAAATAAGCTAAAATGTCAATATTCCATGTGTATAG